ACAGTTTTTACAGCGCTATAGAAAGAACCGTACGAAATGCATAAAAGTTCCACTTATGTAAGAACAACACCGAAAGGCTCATGGTTCGCGGTGTAAAACAGAGAAACGCTTGTGAAAAATGGAAAAGAAAAAGAAGGCATTTCTTTAAATGCTAGCAAAGGACCAAAGATTTATCTACTCTTGGAGTTAACTCAGTGCCTAATTTTTCTTGGACTCCACCTATGTTTTTCCAAGCACTGGGAACTATGCATAAAAAGGTCAAAGAAATAATGGTTTAAAAAAAGTTTGCATTAAATTTTTGAAATAGAAAATTACAGCCCGGCAAAAAAAGAGGAGATTAATGGTTCTGGCCCTGCGCTTTGTATATCGCACTGGCGCTCAGGGGACAAGCACTTTATAAATCACTGCTGGACATATAAGGGATTATTAGTACGATGTGTTTTGTTTCATGGTTTGTGTTATGGCCAAATCCTTAAGTACCTGCTCTGCCCCCCCCCCACCACTAATCTGTTTTTTCTTTTTTTAAGCCACTTTAGAAGCCTGCTTTCTTTTTCATTTTGATTTCTTAAAGGATACTGTTTGTGGAGAAAAGTAAAGACATAGATGAAGAGTTAGGAATTATTATCTGCATTTTCTCGATGCATGCCGGCCAGGTACACATCATCAGATAACTCTGTGAATGTGCAGAAACCCCCCAAAATGTGCCAAATCAAAGTCTGCATTTGCAATCTGCATAGACCGAACGCTGCTAAAAGGTTATTTGTTTTAGGTGATAAATAGCCAGAACACATGCAAGTATACAAACACAGATAAATATGCATTAAGTTAAAATCTACAAGCCGGCCAAACATCCTTGCTCTGCGCTTCGTCAAAAGCTGCGCTCCAAATTGTCAGTCTGAGCTGAATTTCTGACCGACACAAAACTGAAGAATTGAGAAACGTTTGCACAAGTTAGATGAAATCAGATGAAATATGGGTCTACATATATATGTGTTTACACATAGAGTCCACTCCCATCACATACACCCTCCACTGAAACAAAGGCTAACCTTTAAGGGAAATTCCACCAATTTATCACAATTTCAGCATAGTTCTATTGTTGAGATGTAAAGAAAGTCTTTCAGAGTGGTTTGAGCTGAAACGGTTGATTGTAGAGACTCAGATTTCTTTACAGTGGTGGTCATAGGAACCAGGGGTCACCATGACTACAACACAAATATAGCCATTTTATTTACTATCCAAAACCACCAGTGAACCTACACATGTTTTCTTTGAAGATTACCTTGCCTTCACCCTGTATGTGTTTAAAAATATATGTTTTAGGCCAAAACCATATCAAAACGATCATAAAACAATGCCTCAGACATCGGTCAGTGTATTCCTAACCATTTCATGCAATAACTTTCTGGGAGGGAGCTTTTAGAGGCATTATATTCTTCAGACGTCGGTTCCTATCACTACTGCACTGAACAATTCTGGCTCGGTAAGTTTCTCTAGAACAGAGTATTTCACATGAAATGTCTCTGAATGACCTTGTTTACATTTTAACTGTTTAAAAAAAGGCAGTGGTTAGTTATTAAACTGTGATCACTTAAAACATTTTAATACATAAATACATACAGTTGCATAGTGAAATTGTCATTTTCTGTGATAAAAAATCTATTCTATGTGGTTCTTTTTTACTTTTTCAACAAATTGTTCTATATACCAATATTTATATGTTACTGTATAGAACCCTTTTTGATTATACTTTCTTTTTCGGTTATTAATATTTTCCAGTAACTGAAATGAATTATTCAGTAACTACTACAAAACTGATATTTTCGATATGTGGTTATGAAGTCTGGGCCTGCCAACCAGTCCTTAAAGCTTGAGTGTATAAGTGGTATTATCCCTCGTGAATTATTCAATAACTGAAATAATCTAATGTGTGAGTTCTGTAGTGATAAGAGTGAAGAGCTAAAATGTAGGCCCACATATGGAGCCTTAGAGTTAAGAGTTTAAGAGGTATAATAAATTCAGAAGTTTTCTCGCTTTAACATTACAGTATGCAGCTGATTGGAGCTCAAAGTGGGTCATGATGTTGAACTAATAGCAATAATCAGATTATTAATCACATTAGAGAGTGCATTCAGCATCTTGTATGCATTAATGTGCTTTGATAAATTATGGGGAAAATCTCAGTATTGGTGAATTGAAAGGGAATTTCAGAAGTTCTATATAACTAAAAGAAGATGTTAACAGACTCATTCAGAGTGGTTTGGTGTGAAATGCTCTGTTCCTGTGCAACTTGCCGGGTCAGGAATGTTTACAGTGATGGTGATAGGAACCAGACATCCACCTCTAAAAGCTCACAGAAAGTTAGTTATTAGTTATTAATGTGCTGCCTTAGACATTGTTTTGCCACATTATATAGAGGGGTACATGCAGGATGCTCTGAGGCAAAATAGTCCCTAAAACAAACTTGTTTTTCAGATTTAACATAATTTTCCATTATCAGCTTCAATAGAAGAAGAGAATAAAACCTCTTTTTTTGTGTTATACTCCTGGTTCCTATCACCACCACTGTGAAGAAGTCAGAGAAGTTAGATTTATCTACAAAGAACCATTTCACATCAAACCACCATGGATGACTTTGTTTACATCTCTGTGATTTTTTGCAGAAATTTTGGAATTTTAGAAAGTTGGTGGAATTTCCCTTTAAGTCTTGGATTACCATATTGTGTGTGTATAAATATATACACTGTTTAATATACCACTATATATATATATATATATATATATATATATATATATATATATATATATATATATATATATAGTGGTATATTAAACAGGCCTGTGTTAAATCTCCCAGTTACCACTGTGTTTTTTTAATAACTTTTTACCAGAAAAACATCAACATCTTTTTTGTGTAACTGAACAACATTTATTGGTTATTATTATCCACACACACTCACACACACACACACACACATACACACACTCATGAACATCACTGCCACAGTTACTGCTGGAAATGTTGAGATGTTGGCATGTTAAGATAAAAATAAAGGAAAAGAAAAGTTTGCACAGTGCTATAAATGGACCACTTAGTCCATAGGAACATTAAAATCCAAAGGGACAGTAGTGCCGGACACTCAGAGGAGACTCCAGGGGTTTGAACGCAGCAACTTCACCTAAGCTTTAAATGACGGTCAGAAGTGTTTATTACTGTATTTTAGGGTGTACTGACCCTCGCCCAATCCCAGTGGAGGTAACAGGGTTAGTTATTCAGCACTGATGGACTAGTTCGCTCTCTAAAAGGAGGTGTTAATTAACAATACACATTTTGTTTCCTGCTTAACTGTTAAAAATAACACAAGACGCGTTGCCTTTAACTGGACATACAGGTATCGATACTACGTGTTGTTGTTTTTTTTTTACACGTTTTGAGGATCAGTTTTAATCTGTAAATGAAACGTAGGAGAGTAATTAGGCAGCTCGAGCTGCGCTTCTCGTGGGATAGTGGACTTTAGGCTCCCATTTCTCAGAAATTAAAATAAAAATACAGACCTAAAGGCGTCCATCAAAGGCTTGGCGGAATGTTCTATCGTAGCTATAAGTGTGTATATATATATATATATATATATATATATATATATATATATATATATATATATAGTCTAATTGACCTTATTAAAAATGCTACCACCGTCAAAATTCTACGCAGGATATTTTGATAATGTAAATCACCTTATCAGATGATAAATAATAACATCATTAAGCTGAATCTGTCTTAAACACTTGAAGTGAAGGTGAATTAATATTTAAAAATATATAAAATGTTACTGATGACGCGCATGCGCTGTGGGACTGCTCGACTGGTAAGACAAACTGTTAGACCCCCATATTTAGGTTTATATTACTTGTTGATAACAGGTCGATAACGTGACGTCTTTCATCCATCTGACTCACTGAGACTGTGGCTCGAAACGTGTTTTAGCCAAGATTCAGCTTAACATATTTTATTATTATTATTATTATTATTATTATTATTATTATTATTTTCTGACTCATTATTATTATAATTATGGCCTCTAATCACTAAAGGCAATCGAGCCCAACAGTCCACTATCCATCACATAGATTACTGAGCAGATGCAGGTAATCGCTGATATGCAGTTCGTCGATGAAAAGAGATTTTAAATGTCCAGTCTGAGTCCAGCTTTAATATTAGAGCTCAGAACTATCTGATTTAATTTCTTGCCAAATGTGGAAACTGAAACTGTCCTCCTTTGTTCAGATCCAGCTTACGTTAATTAATGCGTGACCAGCTCGTTATTTTAATGGCGAAAAATGGACAAATTGGGAGCAGAATCAGGGAAATTTGGAGAGAAATGGAAAGTCTGTGGTTAAATCCATGCATGAAGTGGCTAAATCTATTCTTCCTCTGTTTTTTGACTAAGTGCGAATTTTTTGATCATAATCGTGTCAAATCCGTAAAGAGTAAACCCGTATATGTTGAGCTAATGACCCTGTTTACAGAGGTCACGTCTCAGCGTGGACACAAGACATAGAAACCTTCAGCCTTCTCACTTTCACAAAGTGCCAGCCTGGCTGCGCAGCCTAGAGCTCAGTTAGTTCTGTGCTTTTAAAAGGCTGGAAGGATTTCAGGCCTTCGCTGTTTCTTATTCGGGCTGAGCCGAGACGTTCAGATGTGGTCTAATATCTAATATGTCACCTCTTTGTTCAGGAGCTCCCATTAACTGAACAGCGAGAAGATTTTTTTTTCTCTGATTTTAACTGATTTTGCTGTTTTAATCCATAAAAGTTCCGACCCTTCACGCACTTGGATGTCGCCACTTTACAAACACATACACCTCACCAAGGACACCATTCTACTCCTCATTTTATCTTAAAAAAATAACAATAATAATAACTTTGACGCGATATAATATTTAATATTCATAAGACGAGACCAAAGTATGTTGATTTTTTTTTTCTGTGTAAAATTTAAATTAATATAAATAACAATATCAATGATAAAGGGAACATTTTTTTTCCTATACATCTGTGCAACAGCATGACAACACACGAGCGTTAAGTTCAGTTCACATGATCATTTACAGCATGTACAAGTCCAGACCGGAGCTGTTTGTTTGTGCAAGATAAAGGAGTGTTATTCTCTTTTTGGAGAGGTGTTTCTTTATCAGCTGTCCGAGTCCGCGTCGCTTTTGCTCTCCTCGGTTTTCTCTGCAGCTGTTTTCGTGGGTTTGTTCCATTTCTGGGTGTTTTCTGATTCCTCGGACGAAGATCTTTTCTGCCTTCTCCATTTCGCTCGTCTGTTTTTGAACCAAACCTGAGCGGAAAATAAACCAGTTTATCAGTGAGTGTGAACGAGTTCTGACCTGCTCTGGGACTAAATTCGTTTAGTTTGTTTATTTGTAAATATGCTCAATTACTGAATTTTAATAGTAGTCTAATAAGAATAAGAATAAGAATGATAATAATGAAAACAATATTAATAATATAACGTGGTATATTTCATTGGATGATTGCGCGCAATTTTTAAATTTTATTTAAAATCTAAATTTCGATTTTTTACTTTTTTTTAAAGAAATTGGTTTATGTAGGTCACAACAGGCTGTATCTGTTTCTGTATCTTTAACTGCCTCCACATTTTTAAAGGAGACCCACACAAATTGAAAAATAATATTCACAATGTGTTTCATTTTTAAAATCTTGATCTGGAAATTTGCTTAAAAATAATAATTTCCTTTTATTCGTGTGGCTGTCCAGGTTAAAACTCAAAGTTTCGTCCGCTCACCTCGACCTTCTCCTCGCGCAGGTGCACCTTCCGTGCTAACTGTTCTCGTGCCCCCACATCCGGGTACTTGGTCTCCTGGAAGAGCCGCTCGAGGGCGTCCAGCTGCTCGTCCGTGAAGATGGTGCGGTGGCGCCTCTTGCGCCTGCACTGCAGCTGGCTAAGCAGGTGCAGATCCGTCCGCGACAGCGAGCCCATGTTCAGGTAGGACACCATCTGATGGGGCACTGGAGACATCAGCACAGAGCCGCTGCTGTCGTAGCCTTCAAAACAGCGCGTGCACAGAGGGTCAGAGTGAGGCCACAACAACAAAAAAGGCTTTAAAGTCCAGACCTTTATTCCATTAATATTTACAGTGTTTGTGTTATCAGAGATTCTTAGCATTTATAGTTTAAAGACATGAATAAACAGTGAAAATGATTTAGACTTTGAGTTGTAGCATTTTGTCTGTTGGCAAGTCGAATTAGATACAATTACATTCAGCACTTAAAACCAGATTCAAATGCTAGTTATATACACTATTTTTCATTTTTTCATCTTAGCTTTTTGCTCTTTTATAGATTATTTTTAAGCACAGATGCAGAGTGTATTATATATCTAAACCAGCCCTATATTATAAAAAACGCTCTACTTTTTACTCCTTCAGTTCCTGCTGTATGTTGTCCGCGTTGTCAATAATCTGGTTGCGCTAAAAAGTTGCGTGCATTGAAATTCCAATAGCGGCCAAACCCAGATTACAGATTACAGTGTAGTATGAACTACACTGGGGAACCCAAATGGACTTGATCAGACACAAACAGTCTATTTGTTTAGATTTAGCAATCTAAACACTTGGTGTGACAAAAGTATGAAACCCATTGGGCTAAATATTTACCCATCTGCTTCTTTATTCTCTGTTCGAGGCCTAATAAGCTGCCCGTGCTCAGGTAGGACCTGCTTAAATCACTCTAACCAAAAATATGAGCTTTCAATATAATTACCTTATAATCGTATTTACATCATCTGAACGCTTTTTATTGCGAGGTTTAAACGCACAGAGCGGCGTGAAGGTGGTAGGCCTGCATGTCTCAGTCCAGCCCAACTTCATCCCTCAGAAAAATGTATTAAAGACCTCTGCAGTCCATTTACAGGACATGAGTTTGGTTTAACGATGTGCTATTTCACAAAATAACCCACAGCCTTAATGAGAAAGATACAAATTTTACAGTGTCTGCGATCAAAAGCCCGTTTCTCCTCTGCACCTTCAGACAGAAACTCCCGCATGGCCAAAGTTCTGAGTGCGCAGTGGAGACCAATATTATAGAATTACTGAAGCATTAATCTCATGTAATTTCAACGCTCCTTAACAAAGCAAATTAATTACAATGAAGTAAAAGAAGCGCTGAGCTAACTTAGCACTAATAATCAGAGCCGTTGGTTATTTAGTGTAACAGAAGGCAGCCAAAAACTTTAATTTGCAGCGTAAAAATATTAGACTTATTGTACTATAAAACAATATCACTGTGCTATGAGCAGTGTTTTGTTTATGTTATTAGTTGATGGTTTTACTTAATATGTAATGCATTCATTAATTAGACGTTAACGTAAGGCTGACATTTTTTATTTTTCTATTTTTGCAAAAAGTTCATTTTTCATTTTTATTTTTTAGATACGTTAAAAATAGCGCTATTTTTATTTTTTAGATACGCTATTTTGGATTAAGCGCAGTCAGACTCGTTTTTGTTTCTTTTGCATATAAATGCTGAGTAATAATGCAGCTGTTAAAGTGTTATAAAAGTCCAATATTTGCTTTGGTTGGAAACTTTGTGCACGAGAGAAAGAGCCAATCTTCAGTCCAAAATCAGCCCATATGATCAATGATAAATTAAAGGGCATGTGAAATACAAATAAATAGAAATGAGCAATGAGAGTCCAAACTCGCTTAAAGACGACAGAAGAAAATTATTATTTTTTTTAAGCATAATTCAAATGTTTTTGACGGTATTGTAGTATTTTTGCATCTGAAATAAATTCACAGCGGATTTGAAAAGAATATTACACTTTTAAAAATACAGATTTCGGAAGTACAACGTAATCATAACTAGGCATTTAAGAACGAGGTTAAAGCCACTTATAAAATGCTGCATATTTCAGCTACATTATATGTTCTATTAGCTCATCTGAGCTCTGAAACAATTCAAACGTTTGCTGAGCGTTTATTTAAATACATGAACCCGGAGTTCCAGGTCACAGTCAAAATAACAGTAAATACAAAACGCATACAATGTAAAGTGGAGGTGGTCTTACCTGTGGGAATGCACGGACACTGGGTGGGCATGGCGCCACAGCACGTTGGGCCACTCGGTCCTTGCACATGAAGCTGCCCGTAGCAGTAGCTGTTGTAGCCGAGCCTGGCTCCGCTGACGGGCGGCAGGCTCGCGGCCGCAGCTCCTGTGGGCGAGTAGAGTCCGTTATAGTCTGCCGCCGAGTACAGCGAGTCCGCCAGGTTGGAGAAGACGAGCGGGGCGCTGCGGTGGAGCAGCGCGGGGTCCTTACAGCTGGGTCTGCCAGCTAGAATACTGTCGATACTGAACATCCCCGCGGGCATCACAGGCAGGACAGAGAGTGAGAGGTGGGGGGCTCAGATAAAGAAGCCTACCTAAAAGTCCTAAAAGTGTTCAAGTATCCGATCAGAGGTCGATGGGTTTCCTCATAGCGGTTGAAAAACAGCAAAAGTTTCCAGCGCCGCAGAAAGAGGAGGAGGGCGAACTGTCTCTGAGGCGTCCAAATGAAGTTTCTCCTGGGTTTTATACCGAGCTGAAGTTTCTCTGACGTCACTCCGAAGGCTTGCTCCCTCTCTCGCTCGCTCTCTCTCTTTTCTTTTCCTCCTTTCTTCCCGCATCACCAGCTCGACATGGGCCGCTTTAGGTTTTAGCGCTCAGTGGTGTGAAAAAGCCCGCAGATCTTTGTGTATTCAGGCTTAATTTGATTAAGTTGATCTGCACTGTTTCGAACAAATAAATAAGCGCTATATTCTTATTTTTATGAATTGAGGTGAACAGACGGATGGGCTGTGTGTGGCAGTTGCGCAAACGTACGTTTAATTTTTGCGCTATATTTGTTCGTCATTTTTTTGATTAAGTTTGTAGATTTTTTTTTTCATTCAGTACTTTATTTGGGTCTATACAGGCCTAAGCAGTCGCTTAGCAACCTCGCGTTCGGGAAATGAAAGAGAAAACAGATATTTCCTACTAATATAAAATTGCGACAAACTTCATTTTTGTTTCATGGAAAACTTAAAGACGTATTTAAGATTGAAACCTCTTAATAGGCGCTGAGTAAAGCTGAACACTGATGAGGCAGATTTCTATTGACCCCCCCAGGGCACCGAGCACCACGCAGATGGATGGGCGCACGTGTTTGTGTGGCCGGATTCCTCAGCATTATGCAGGGCTTTATCTTAAGTGCCTTAATAATGCGTGTTATTTGTAAAACAGTGGGTCTGACACGCTGCGCTGGCTGATCACGCTGAGGAGATGGAGGCAGTTTAGCTCCATCAGTGGGGAGGAAATGCACTTTAAACACCTCCAATAAGCACCGGGCTGAGTGGACATGCTGCGATGAGATAACGCCCATTATCGCCCGTTCAGCAACGCCGCAAATGGACTTATTAAAATCAGAGCGGCTGATCAAATGAAGTTTGCGCGAGGGAGGCGAAGCAGTGCTGCTATTCCATTTAGGCCACAATGTCGCCTCCGTCGTAAACCTCACGCATATGCGGGCAGTAATTGAGGTCTCCTATGATGTTGGGCATCGTGGTGAATTTGTTCTTCTCAGGAACGGATTTGTTTGCTGTTTTGCTAAATGTTCCCATCGCGAGCGAAAATTTCCAACATTATTAAAGTGTCACACAAAAGCGTGGCGGCGGTAATGAAGCAGAAATGACTCGGAATGATACGCTAAACTGAAAAGTAATGCATTGGGTGTAAAGGATGAATCCCATTATGAGATCAGTCAGGCTGTCTTTATGGAGGCCTATAAATTAAAATAATAAAAAGAAAGAAGTCTTAGTCTGGAAACTGGCTAAAGTAAAGTCATTTGGCAACACATCAGTCCTTAAAAGGAGGGTCGAATTAATGCCTGAAATTTACACCTAAAGTGGGACCTGAGGTGTAATTCACTTCATATTAATTTATTCATTTGCCCATGATTACA